TGAGAGCTGAGAGGACACTGGGGGGTGGGGGTGGGGGAGCGGAGATTTCCTCTTCTAAGAAATAGGCATAGAAAGAGATAACCTCCCTTTTTCTGGACACTTGGAAGGCAAGCGCTGTAGTTCTGGGTGCCGAAATTATCTTGTGCAGCCTGACAATGAAGCCAATTCATGAGGGACAGCAGAGCCAAGAGAATCACAGAAAAGTGAAGCCAGAGTCCTAACTGCATCCTACATACGACCATCTTGTTAGGGAGAAAATATATTTCCCTACAGTTTAAATTGGTTTGAGTTTTCTGTTACTTGATGCCAAAAACATCCTAAATTATAAGTCCTTCCAGTCCATCATCCACATTGCAAATTCAGGGGCTGCTATGCAATATGGATCTTATACTACTTTCTGATTCAAGTCCTTCAAGGCTAAAAGGCTTCTTTTAGCAGTTAGGTTAAAGCCTTTGTTCAATATCTCTCTCCCTGCATAACCATACACCCTCCGCCAATGTCAGCCCCTGAGGGTAGGACCCCTGGTCTTCATCTTTGGCTCCCTGGTGCCTAGCATAGTCTGCCACAAATCAGGTGCTGCATAAATGCTAATGGATAAATGAAGAGAAGGAGCTGAGGGGTCAGAGTCCTAGGCTCCGGTTTTGGTTTTGCACTGATTTGCTTTGGGACTTAAGGCAACCCTCTCCTCTTTCTGGACCTCAATGTCCAAAACTGTAAAGAAGGCATATTGGACTCTAGCAGTAGTTTAAGAATGGGGATTAAAAGAACACCTCCTTGAGATACCCCATATGATAGTGGTTGTGCTTTTGGTATCCATTGATGGATTATAAATCACGATAAAAATATAAATGACCACAAAGCGTTTAAATGTGGTTGTATTTATCAATTGCAGCAGCATCTACATCCATTTGAAAAACATTCATACTTGTGTGTAAGACACATTGTGCACCAAGTTTACAGGCAGCACTGGGTGCCACATAATTTACAGATGCCTTTAGCTAAGGGCCCCATAAGTTTGGAATCATTGGCCTAGAAAATCTCAGAGTCCTTTAGGCACTAGGGGCTTATGTGTCTAACATGGGCCATAGGGGGTGTGCAACTTGCATTGGATCATACAGCAAATGAGTGGTGGATTCAAACTCACTCTTCTCTAGTCTGGGTTCCCTTGGCTCAGCCAGCCTGGCTGACAGCAACACTCCCCTTTGGTTTCCCTGGAAATGAGAAACAGGGAGGCCTTCGAGCATTGAGACTGCCTAGGGTGCGGGGGTGGGGTGGAGGGGTGAGGTAGATGTCAGAACGCTGACAGCTCGAAATGACAGGGAACATTCTTCAGATGCTGTGTGTGTGGTTTAGAATCGGCTGGAATTACACCCTCAGGGCTGAGCCAACATTGTCTGAGGCTGAGCTGAGCCTGGACCCTGCTGAGGCAAGGACCATGTGGGGGGTCTCGGCCCAGGGCCACAGAGCTGAGCAGAGAGGCAGTGAGGGCAGGAGGCAGATTCCTAGCTGGAAATCAGACACAGGGACCTTTTGCTTTTCCAAACATGTGTGGTTATTTGTTCATTCATTTATTCATTCATTCATTCAGCAAGGTAGTCAGCCAGGCACTCAACCAATGCTCACTGAGCTATGCAGCTCTACAGCCATCATAGGGTCTGTGGATGAACGGGGCACAGCCCTGACTCTGGAGCGGTGTCTGTTGTGCTGAGGGAGGCAGACATGAGCATGTGCTAAAGTCTCTCTGCATAAGGTCAGCCCATAGGTGTCAGCAGGACTTTTGCCTGGGGAAGGAGAAAGGAAGGAGAAATTGGGAAATGTTTTTAGAAAATACAATGGTTACCTTCTGTGAGTGGTTCTCAAGGAACTAGTAGGAATGTACCAGGCGGGTCAGGGAAGAGAGGGCCCTCCTGGCAGAGGGGCCAGTGGGAGAAGTGATTATTTCCCTCTCTGCCTTTGGATGGGTTTTTGTTTGCTTGATTTTTTGTTATTTGACAATATGGAGGTAAAGTTTTTCAGAGGGAAAGATGGGACTTGTTGTTAATAAAGGTCCTGGAGATCAAGGAGCTGGTTGGAAAAATTAATGAGACTATTTGTTTCTACAGCTGGCAAATCGGGTTGTTCTGATTTTGATTACCAAAGGCTCTGAGGGGGAGGGGACCTGGCACTTGGGCTGAAAGTAGCTCCATTTGGCTTAGTATGAAATGTTTCAGGGAAGCAGGGCACAGGGAGATTGGTGAGAAGGGAGGCAGCAGGGGTCCACAGGTCAGTCGTGCAGCCCACCAGCCATGCTCATGATTTGGTGTGACTCCTAACAGCGAGGCGGAGCCACTGGAGGCATCTAAGCAGGGGCCACAGATGAGCTAGATTGCTCTAGCTGCTGAGTAGAGAAGGAATCAGAGAGGGAGGCAGAGAAACCAGCCAGGAGGCTACTGTAGTGGACAGTGGAAGAACTGATACTGTCCTGAACAAGGACTGAGATAGAGGAACAAGGCAGTGTATGTGAGAGAAATTTCTGAGAACTGACAGTACTGACAGTTCTCAGTGACTGGAGGTGGTCAGAGAGGGAGAGAAAGGACTAGAGGATGACGCTGGTTTCTGGACTGTATGACAAAGTTGACGTTGAGCCACCATCTGAGATGACAGCTGGAGGTTCTCTCTCTGACAAGGTCTGTAGGGAATGAGAATGAAGTGTCTGATGGTCCCCCAGAGCCACAGCCTTGGTTCACACCTCATCACCGTCAGCCTCCCATCTGGTCTCTTAGCCTCTCCCTGCTCCCCTCTCTCGCCCATCTCCTGGTAGACTGGGTGATCTAAATGAGAGATCTGATAATGTCACTCTCCTACTAGAAAATGCTCAAAGGCTCCCTGTTGTTGATCTCAGCTCCTTAGCCTGGCACATAAAGTCATCTGCAAATCTGACCCTGTCTACCTTCCTTGACACTCTACACTAGCCACGGTGAATAATAATAGTAACAACAACAATAAAAACAGCAGCTAACAGTTGTACAGCATTGACATGTGCCAGGCAGTGTTCTAAGGACTTTACACATACTAGCTCATGTAATTCTCAAAAAAACACTGAAAGTCTTGTACTTCCTGGAATGAACCATATTCTCTTGCCTTCAGACCTTTGCACCTGCAGTTTTCTTGACCTAGTATCCAGCAGTCCTTCTGGCCATTTGATACACGTTTACTGGTCATCACCTTGTGCCAGGTACTATACTAAGTGCCAGGGATCCAAAGATGAATGAGACATGGCATGTGCTCTCAATGCATACAAAGGCTAGTGGGGAAGACAGACACATGCAGGGACAATGAAAACACAGTAAGGTAAGCGCAGTGACGGAGACGTTATGGCGCACAGAGAATGCATTGGATCATACAGCAAATCCATCCTGGGGCCTTCTCCACCTGGCCATCTGGAGCTTTACTGCTTCCAAGAAACCTTCCCAATTTCACCAGGCTGGTTTTACCTTCCCGATTTCACCAGGTCCCTCTTCTGTGCTCCTACAGTCCCTACTCTGCATGCATCATGCACTGACAACCTTATATGGGTAGTGTTGTGTGGCTGCCTCTCCTGAGCGCAGTGAAGGCAGAGAACAGTCTGATTCATCACTGGGATTTAGCACCCAGAGCAGCCTGGACATGGTCCTTAGGGTTTTCTGAATGAAAGAGGGTCCTTAAAGAATGCAGAATCGCAAAGAGGGTTATTCCCTGGGTTATTCCCTGATGCTCTAACCAGAGTCAGGCCTGCACTTGCTCCCTTTCCTGAGCATGGCTCAGTCCCCTCTGGAGTTGGACCCTGTGAGTAAGACTAGGGATGCTACTTCCATCCCTAGTTCAGGAGCACCCTGGTCAGAAAGGTCCTCTTCAGAGTGGGGTCCCAAGATGTCCCCCAGCCAGGTTGGAACTGCTTGCCTCAGGCTCTTGAGGAATGAGCAGTATCCTAGGCAGCTCTAGTTTTGGGGATAAGAGAGAGGAAGCGCTGCAGCAAGCAGCCCTCAGGACCCCTGTGTGGTGGGAGATGGTGTTTGGGCTGTCTCTGGGATTTCCTTCCATTCCTGAACCCACCCCCCACCTCCAGCCCCCACAGCCTCTGGACTAGAGGATCCATGGACGCTGTGATGGAGGGCTTTAGAAATAAATAACTCTGGGATGGTCTTGAACTATCTCAGAGGTGTTTGAGGAATATTCTAGGAGGCCTTAAGGGGTCTGGTGATGGCCCTTGCACTCCCATTGGGTTAACATAGCTCTTTCCCTCCAGAGCTCTGGAGGGGCAATCACAGGGCCTGACTGGAGGGGCTGAGAATCTTGGGGCAAGGACCTGAGATGATTTTCAGGCTTAGTCCTCTCTCCTAGGCAGGGTAGTTGTGAAGTGCTGGGTGTTACTCTCTGCTCCTTGTTGCAAAGTCTGTCTTGGCTAGCAGTGCCTTTGCGGAGCTGGGGCTAAGGGCAGGGAGTCTTGGGACCTAGTGCTAACAGCTTTGGACAAGGGTGGGAATTTCCACTCCTATCTAGAGAGCCATCAATGCTGTGTGCCCTGACCTGGGCCTTTGGCCTCCAAAGGGCAGTGGGAAGGCCGGCCCCAGGGCCAATCCCTGGCCATTAATCCCTCCTGCCAGCCCGAATATCCACCCAGTGTGGTCAGACAAAGGACTGCCCAGCCCAGCCACTGTGTTCCTCCCGCCCCAGGGGCTCCACTCAGACGCTGGGCCGCCTGGAATCCAGGCCCATGAGAAAGGGGCTGCCTTCACTGGCCATCTTATGCCCGGATGCTCAGCCGCATCACGTCCGGCCCAGGGCCTGTGAAAAGAGGGCCCAGCCACGCTGAAAACACGGATTAGCCCTTGGGCCGCCCCCTGACACCGGCCTGCTTGGCTCCGGGAAGCAGGCCCAATGGAGGGGGCCAGACAGGCACAAAGAACTGGAAAAGTCTGGGTTCTCACCCCTTTGGCCCAGCTCCCCACCCCCACTTTCCCCAGGATTAGCACAGCCAGTCGCACATTCAGTATCATTTATTGAACATATGCTATGTCCCAGGCTGTGCACAGGGGCTGGAAAATCCAAAGTACAAGAAAACTACAGTTGGCCATGGGAGATAGTAAAAGCCATTTTTCTGCCAACTCCCTCACTCCCTGGAGGTGTGAGAAAAAGGCTGTGGTAGGGGACTTTGGAGGAGCTGAAAGACTGTCAGCTCTGGTTCTGTGCCTGAGTTTAGCTGCAGGATTATGCTGTGCCTAGTTGCAAATATGCAGGCTCTAAAATCACTTCTCTGGACCTGCCTCTCTCCTTCTCCTCCTGGTTAATACTGGAAATGGCAGTTGATAGGGGAGAAAGCAACTCATACCAAGTGCCAGTGTGGGCCAGGCACTTTCCTACATGCTCTCATTTGAGTCTCATAACAACGCTGAGAGGGCACATGATTGCTTCTATTTGGCAGGTGAGGAAACTGAAGCTCAAATGAGAACTAACTCCAGGTCACTCTGCTCTTGGAATTAGATTTTCTGCTGCTGCAGTGGCTTGTCTTGCTTTCTTTGGTGAGCTGTGTGTTATAATTGCACTGTCTTGTGTTCAGTATGGCCTGCACTTAGGCAGTAGAATGCAAGGTGGAGAGGGTAGAGAGGGTACTGAGGCAGGACCTTTTCGAATACAAACCGGCTGATTCTTCATTGTTGTGGAGTAGGGGGTTGTCTCTAGATCTCCAAGTGTCATCTTCTTCCTCTCTTCTTCCACAGCCACCCTGCCACCTCTCTCATAGCGTCTAATTGCCCATCTCTCCACCAGACTGTTTCTTCATCTCTGTCTTGCCCTGAGCACTACAAAGGGCAGGCCCAGAAGTGAATGATGAATGGTGGATGATGCAGGCTGAACTGAGGCCCGGAGAAACGAAGGAGGGTTAGATTTGGGATTCATGTGGAATTGCTAAGACCTGGCAATTGCCTGGACTGGGGAGTGAGAGGGGGAGGGAGGAGCCCAATATGCTGATGTCCACACTTCTGATCTGGGTGGTGGTGGGGAGGAGAGGGGAGGGGCCCATTTGCTGAGATCTGGAATGCTGGAAGGGGAGCAGGTTGGAGTCAGAGGGTTACTGGGTTGAGGAAGAGAGGTGTTTCATTTAGGACATCCGGATTTGAGAAGCCTTGTGATATCCATGTGGTGATGTCCAGTGGGCACCTGCACATGTTGACCTGGAGGTCAGGAGAGAGGGTAGAAATCAACTACGGCAGCTGAAGTTGTTGGAGCTGGAAGAACTCTAGAGTAAATTATTTCTAAAGTCTCAGCTTTAAAAGATGGTGTTCTTAGAAGAATGGTGGCACCAGGGCTCTGAACTCCAGGTTTAATTCCTGCTCTGCCACTTACTACTAGCTGTGTGAAGTTAGGTAAACCATTTAACCTCTCAGACCCTTAGTTTCCTCATTTTCAAAATGGGGTGCTCAAACTTAAGTGAAATAACGAGGGTAGTTCAAAAAGTTCAAGGAAAGATCATATCTTTTAATTCTACTTTTCCATGAACTTTTTGAAGTACCTGCATATATAAAGTGTTTACCAAATATAAAATGCTCAGCAATGGTGCGTGTGATATGATTAGCTTAGACTGGAGCTGAGAGAGGGGCCCTTGAGCTCTAGGCTTTGATTATGGATTTTGAAGCCCTAGGCCACAGGCCTGCTAGAAGCAGCTTTGGTCATCTGTATGTCAGGGCTGAGACTAGGGTGGGGCAAGTGAGGCATCTAGAGCCCCCAATTTAAGGAGGCCCTTGTTCTCAAGTGCTGACCCTGCACTTGCAAGACGAGGAGAGTTCCCTTTACATTGAGCACCTCAGGCACCTCACTTACCTCACTGTACTCCCAGCTCTGCTCCATGTCCAAGTCCCTTGATCTTGCCTGTCCCCAAGACTAGGCACTTTAAGACAGGGCTTCTTCACCCCTTGGTTCCCTCCTAGCCAGGGCTGGATCTCTCCTGTCACTTTGGAGAAGAGGTTTCCTGAAATAGGCTCAGGGTTGCATCCCTCTGGATGGTGGCTGTGGGTGGTATTTCCCAGACCGGGTTGTTTTTGTTTTGTTTTGTTTTAAAAAAAAGATAACCGGCAAGGGGATCTTAACCCTTGACTTGGTGTTGTCAGCACCACGCTCTCCCAAGTGAGTGAACAGGCCATCCCTATATGGGATCCGAACCCATGGCCTTGGTGTTATCAGCACCACACTCTCCCAAGTGAGCCAGGAGCTGGCCCCCCAGACTGGGTTTTTGATCAGCACTGCCAAGACGCCCACTCCCAACCCCAATGAGATGTGTGTGTAGTGTTTCTGGGTCAGAAAGCAGCTCTCTCAGACCTCCAGTCTGTGGCAGACTGTGTTTTGTGCATCTCCCTGTGTGAGTGGTGTGTGTGTGTGTGAAGCAGAGCAGTTTTCTAGAACAGGAGGGGTGTGGAGGGAGGCAGCCAGAAGGGTAACTCCAGGTTGTGGATTTTCTGGGGGCTCATGATTTAAAGCAGCTGGACCACTTTTCGCGATTTTGCTTTTTCAAAGAATGCTCAGGAGGCCTGGAGGGAAGGTGGAACAAAGGTGTGGAGGGAAGTAGCAGAGAGAGGAGATGGTGACCCTGATCCTCCCCTGAGATCTGGCTCTGCCCTCCCCACCCCCTACTCCCTTCTTCATTACCTCAGCCCAGGTGCCCTAACGTTGGAGGCCAAACCTGACACCTCCCTGACCCACCACGGGACGCTGAGGGCTGGCAGGGCGATCCTCTTTTCTGCTCCAGCTGGGGATGGAAGGACCAGGAGGAGGTTGGAAGGGACCCAACTACTGGGAGGAGCAAGATGGGGAGGGGGCCGGGAGAGTGCGCTGAATGGGTCAATTTGTGATTGGGACTGACCCAAAGGGGAGGGGGTTGGAGGAAGGGTGGGAAGAAAGGGGTGCTGATCAAAAATGGTGGGATGGGGCCAGGGCCTGACCCAATGGAGATGGGGAAGGGATGAGGCTGGGTCTGGGAAAAACTGACCCAAAGGGACGAGACCAAGGGAGGGCAAACTGTGGAGGTGGGGTGGGGTGGGAGTGCTGTGAGCACGGTAAGGGGGCTGGGAAGGCACATCAGAGGGGAGGCGCCGGCCAGCAGGCAAGGTCCGAGCCCTCGGCCCTAGTGGGGAGGTGGGGGG